TTTGGGTATGTGATCTGAATGAAAAGTTTTTATTTAATGTTATGTAAGAAGGACCAGTTGTACATGCTGGACCACATCCTTTCAATCTCTGGTTGTGCTCTGGCCATATTGAATGCCAAAGTGTAAAGTGGCATTTTACTTGTGGATTTAAATTATGGGGGTGCAGATATTAGAATGTTGGGGAAAAAAACAAGAACAGGGGAACCAGTGACACAGAGAGGTGATGGGTTCCTCCTCATTAAACACCTTCAAGCGGGGCTTAGACATTATCTCTCAAGGATGCTTTTGATTTCTGCAGGGAACAAGTTGGTGGACTGGATGCCCTCAGTAGCTCCTTCCTATTTACTTTCCCTCAATTGTATAGAACAGTGTTTCTCAACCTTGGCAACTTTAAGATGTGTGGACTTCAGCACCCAGAATTCCCCAACCAGTATAATAGATGGACACACTGTTGGGGAGATTAGGCTGAACCTGTGGTTGAACCTATGGGGCTTTCTGATCACAAATGGTATATGTTAATTTGGTGGAGATCTACATTCTCTGAATTCTAGAGCCAGATGGACAGTTCCCACTAGCATCTTTGCACAGTATATTATTTATGTCACCTTCTATAATTTCATTATGCTGACTGAAAATTCACATATATACTTTCTGTGCTTCATATACTATGTTCCACTTTCTAAGATGCTAACAATCTTTTGATGTACTGCTACAAATTGTTTGTCAATAAAGCCTCATTCAACCATAATTTTTTATCCCAGAATGCTACATATAATTTGCTTCTTCCAAGCAATTCTTGCATTCCACTCAAAGTCTCTTGTTAGATACTATAACATCTGACCTAATTTTTGAACTTTTCTGTACTGCTTTGCCTGTCAAAGAATTTTGTAGAACCCAGACATTTCCACACTCTTTTGTACTCTTTTGGTTGCTTTTAATAAAGGGATTACTCAGTTTTGGATTTTGGACTTTTAAGCATGGATCCATGTGGCTGTTCTAGTTTTATATTTCATGCAGTGTTATTGTAAAAATGGTAATATTGTATATCTCACAATCCCCTGTAACTACCAGATCTTACTCAGTGTTTCTAGTATGTTTGTACCTTTGAATAGAAACAGACTAGACACATATATTGCTTGTATGGCTCACTCTTTTTAATCTTCTGGTTTTATTTAATTGCATTTTGCTTGCTAAGTCCAGTATTCTGAATTGGAGCAACTAGATCCATGAATTTAACCCTGCCACCCCCACCCCACCTTTCTTATCAAATGTCACAAAATATGGAACAAGCTTTTGGATTGTCTAACTTGGATTCTATTTTTAAACATTTTATTTGGTCTGAATAAATTATCCACTCTTTGGATTCTTTCTCCTGCTCATGTCTTTGGCTTGCTATGAGTCAACATTTTGGGGGGAAGGAAGTTGGCTTTGATCTTTTATGAAAGAACCCCATTTCTTTTTAGGGCATCTGATCATTTGTTCAGCTTGCTCTTGATGGCTTGATTGGGAAGCAGGCCACCCACAGTCTGAAATAAAGAATTTCTCAGTTGCTAGCTAGTAGCATATAATGATTTGTACTGAACTGGAGATCTCCCCAGGTAGTCTAAAAAGACACTGTCACCCAGTAGTATCGTAACTATTATGATTAGCCAAACATGATATCTTCCATCTTCTGCTACCACAGTTGGAGAAATTCTGATCCTGTATGTACAGCAGGATTTGAGCAGAAGTGAACTATCGGGTGTAGTAGACTTTGTCCAAGTTCTTCAAGCAGTTGAGGACCATAAGCTCTTATGCTTCCTTGTTTTGCCGGGGCATTGTCAGTAATATTTAGAATGGAGAGTGAGCGAGCATTGTCTTCCCATTCTTCAGTAATGCTTGCTACATGTTGCTGAAGATTAAATGGCATGCCAAAGAGTTACAAGGATGGGTTGACCCACTGCAATAAGCCATGCCTTATTAACTAAGCTACATCTGCTAGAGCTGCACACTGCATTAGGCCATACATTCAGCATTGTTCAACTGCTAGCATCACACATCCTGCTATACCAAATGAATCACATTATGGCTTAGTGTAATATACATGCTCAACCATTGAGAGGTGTCTCTAAGTTCTGTATATGTTAGAGCAGAAGCATCTTTTAGGATATCTACAGTATATATTGATATGAGATCAAGATTTCATTGGCCTTAGACCCAAAGGAAATTGGCTTCAAATCCCTATTCAGCTATAAAACCTCTTGAGGGGTCTTGGGTTGCCTACCATCCCTCACCTTATCTTGGAGAATTATTTATGAGGATAATCAGTTATTATCCTGGGATGAAGAATAAGACACAGATGAAATAAATGAAGAAGTCCAGTGTATCAGTGCTCACTCTCAGTTTAACATCTCACCCTGCCAACCTTGAAATCTGTCTCCCATAATTCTTTAAGCTATTCCTAATTATGTTTCCTTTGTCACTGCTGTCACTCCCTTGCTTACTGTTCATTTATATTTCTCAGTGTCGTCCTACTACTTCTTGTTCATCCATGGTAGATTCATGTCATACCTGTCTTGTAGAATTCCTTATCTGAAGAAGACGAGGAACTGCAGGATCAAACCCAGGAAGCACTTCAAGCATTACAAAAACTAGAATGTTGGGAGAAATAGATGGAGCAGAATAACCAATGTTTGACTCTAGAAAAGAAGGTGTACATGTACAGGACCAAGCAAGCTGAAGTCAACTCTGAAATCAGGTAAGGATTGGAGTACAGCAACCAGAAATAAGAAAGTTAACAGCTGACTGCAATTCCAAAAGTTAACTATGCCCAGCAACCTCATAGGTCAACCAAATGACAGCTGAAATAACACATGATGAAATACTAATGGAATGTGGTTGGCAAAGGATAAAAGAACAAGTTGCAAAGGTCTCTTACAGAAGACCCCCAACTGTGCATGCAACTATCATTTATGAAGTGTTCCTGTCTTCCCCAACCCCTATGCATTACCTGATCAGTTTTGTAGTGGAATAAGCAAGTGTGTGTGTAATGCTTAAATCATTGTAATTATTAAAGCTTTTGTAGGTTAACAGAGACTCCCTGTGTGTTGGGTATTCTCTTGAGCATTTCATTACTGCATAATATCCCAAAGTTCAAATCTGTAACACAAGAAGATCAACCGAACAGCCTTATGAGAAAAGCAGCCGGTGAGGATGAAGTCGTAGAACATCTCCAGAACCTAGAGAGAATAGTATTTGAAAGTGTGGGCCGTGTGGCATAGTGCTGCTTGAAACACAGGTGGCTCTAGAGATCTATGGAGCTTCATAATTACTAATAGCTATGTGAGCAGGGGGCATGCCTCACAACTCATTATATACATATTTACTTTTGAACAATTACCTGCATACATGATAAATGTTTTGGGTTCCATTATCCAGCCCTTATCATGGTATGGAGACCTGTGGTCTTGAATCTTCCTGGTTCTCTGGATATCCCCTTGCTTTATTACTATTCAGTTCTTCAAACTTAACTGAACTGCTCACTTGTGTCAGTGATGTTGGCCTTACTATAAACTGCATCTTAACTTGTTCCCCATGAATTTTTTGTCTTGTTTTGCTGGCCTAGGTCCTAAATATAACTCTCCATTCTGTGGAGGGCCTAGATTATTGTTGTCACCAAACAAGGCTTGCTCTGATATCAGTTGTAGCAGAAGCATTTATCATTAATTAAGATTAACTACATCTATCCTCCCTATGCTAATGTTAATACTATGGGGGAAAATACTCTCTCTTTATAGCAGACATCTGGATGCTTGTTCATTAATTAAGCAATTCATTCATTCATTCTATATTTTAACTTTCTATTCTAGCAAACATTCAAAGCTCCCTTCCCCTATGCAATTCCTATTTTATGCATTGTACAGTATATTACATCTCTGACTGGAAGCTTTGATCAAGAAATGAGGCCCTGGTGCAGAAAATGAAATAAATAAAAAGAAAGAAGGTAAATTGAAGTGTTGTTCTTCAAAGCTAGATCCGTAATGACATCAAGGACTTACCAAAGCATTTCTCCTTTTGAAAAAGGTGTGTTTTGGGGGGAGGGGGTGTTCCAAACTGATTTTCCTACACAGTATATGAAATTTGAATGCAGCTCTAATTCTAAAAATACAGTAATAACCTCATTCCCTGAGTATTGCATGCCCTTTACTGAAGTTTACATTCCTCTTTCAATGAAGACTTATGGAATATAGCCTTTCCCACACCCTAAAAAACAAAAAATAAATAAATAAAAACCACAGTCCTGTTCTTTCCTAGCCTCCTCCCTATCAGTTCATAATTTCAAGATAACCAGGAGAAGTGATCTTAATCTCCTTGCTGATGGCACTTCTAAACTGAGAAACGGATTGAGTACGGTATAAGAGGCATTCAAGCTTGGCCTACACAGACTCCATAGATGTGAAACCTTCCTGGAGAATATCACAGGCAACTTCTACACTGGATCAAAATTACAAAACATGGAGAGATAACTCACAAAAGCCAGAGTTCAATGCAATAACATCATCTCAATGTTAACCTGTGGAATGGACACTTATTCATTCCAATGGACAACAATCAGCTAAAAATGTTCATGCGGTGGTGAATTTGGAGGTCATGTCTAAAAGCAGGATAGCCCCCTTTGACAAGTCCTGTTTCCTGTCTTGAATTGGGATCTTCCTTCCTTCCTTCCTTCCTTCCTTCCTTCCTTCCTTCCTTCCTTCCTTCCTTCCGTTCTTCCTTCCTTCCTTCCTTCCGTTCTTCCTTCCTTCCTTCCTTCCGTTCTTCCTTCCTTCCTTCCTTCCGTTCTTCCTTCCTTCCTTCCTTCCGTTCTTCCTTCCTTCCTTCCTTCCGTTCTTCCTTCCTTCCTTCCTTCCGTTCTTCCTTCCTTCCTTCCTTCCGTTCTTCCTTCCTTCCTTCCTTCCGTTCTTCCTTCCTTCCTTCCTTCCTTCCTTCCTTCCTTCCTTCCTTCCTTCCTTCTTTCCATCTCAATATGTAGTTTCTCTGGTGACCTGGCTAGAAAAAGTATGGTTACTAGAGATGCTGTTGGATTTTCTGTTGAACTTGGTTCGTTTCTTCTTCTTCCTCCATGGCAGGCACATGGAAATGAGGGTTGAAAGGAAGATCTGGCGGAAGTTGGTGGAGACCAAGTTATATAGGACTGGGTTAATAGCTGAACTAACATAGAAGAGGATGTTTGTCAGCATGTAGAAATAGTGATAGAAGTCAAAAAGGAAGCTGAGAGGAGAGAAAAAGAGGAAGATATTCTAAATTGAGCATGATTCAACAAAGAAGGGAAAGAAATACTAGCTATACATTTGAACTGTATAGCTACAATTTATTTTATTTTTAGTGATTTAGATGAAGCTTAGCTCATTTACTTGGACTCTAGGCAATGGAAAGATATTAAAGTATAATGATAGTAATAATAGAAAAACAATACAATAGAACAATAGCAGTGCAATGCAGTACAACCAATATCGGAACCCACAGCTCCACAGAAGGCCGAGGTCATGCCCACCTCAGGGAGCAGGATGTTCACCTCAGGACTTGCACTGAGAACACCTGTGCAATGTTTTGATAGCTATGGATCCACAGTATGACTGAGTTTGTGTACCTACTGTAGGAGCCAGTAGCTCCATTCTTGGGGCATACTAATAATTGCTAACTGGTAGAAAGCACATGAGCCAATTTGGTGTAGTGGTTAAGGCATCAGGCTAGAAACCAGGAGACTGTGAGTTCTAGTTCTGCTTTAGGCACAAAGCCAGCTGGGTGACCTTGGGCCAGTCATTCTCTCTCAGCCTCAGGAAAAAGATGGCAAGAGCAAACCACTTCTGAAATCTTGCCAAGAAAACTGCAGGAACTTCTCCAGGCAGTCGCCAAGAGTCAAAAACTGATTCAAAGGCACCGCCCGCCCACCCACCCACAAAAAGTACATACTTTGTGTGGAGAAAGTTTGAAGTTCACTCCCTAGTATCATCCACAAGTGGATGTCAGGTAAGTATCTGCAAAATGTCCTATTGCTGCAGTGTCCCAGGAAAATGTGGAACGTTGTGTTCTTCCAGACAGCATTGATCTGACAGTCCCATGAATGGACTATGTCAGCCCCACTA